TCCCATGCACTTCAGTTCCAGTCCATAAACGAGGAATGATGATGACACTTGCCTAGCTCATAATGGTCTCAGGAAAATAAGCAGAGGAAAGGTCGGGAGATTCAAGGTACTTTGGTAGTGTGGTTGCATAGAAGACACACAGTGACCTAAAATGACCCCTGAGAGGTTTGGTATGGGGAGCTGTGAAGCTTACACAGCATAGCTAAATCGCTTTGAAGGTTCGTGTGTTTGAAGGAGCCAATCCAACAGCTTTACCTCATGTTCTTGGGAGGCCCCAGGTGCCCAATACACCAATACCTCTGTAACTTTAATTTCACCTTGAAGAGTTTGAGGAATGTTTTTTAAATGCATTATATTTACCCTTATACACTATATCCATGTAGACACACGCAGTGTTAACTATTTCAAGGTCCCCGCAGAGAGCTGTTAGCAGAGACAGAACATGGGCCGGCATACTACTGAAGCCACATGCACCATCTGCTCAAACATTTTAATGTAATTTATCAGGCAAGAGCTGAGCAGGAAAAAAAAAAACAACTAGATGAAAGATATTACATTTCCCCTTCTCCAAAACACCCCCTGCTGCTTGATATATGAACCTAACTCACCTATAACTAATATTTGATTTAAGAACATATTCATAAATTTAAAAAAAAACAAAAAACAGTTCTGTGCCTGCAAAGTAACATTGACATAATTTTTCAGTTAACTACTAACCTGCTGCCCATGGAGAAATATCCAAATTCATAATCCTTTTGCCAAAACCAAGAAGGAGTGGACAAGTTAAGAACTTAAAAGTTGTTACCTCCCTCAGACAGCAATTGATGTCCTTCAATAAATGAGTAAAGAAATCAGACAGCAATTTTGATGATCTTCAATAAATCAGTAAAGATTTATTTACTGCAGCATTGAAGTCAAATAAGTTCTACATGTTAAGACTTCTATTTGGCTGAAGGTGGCAGCCCTGGGCCAAGCACTATTCAAATTTTGGAAATAAGTCCTGCATCTGATATGTTAAAGGGGATTCCAAAGACCTATACTTCAAGAATCAGATTTCATGACAAATAAGCTTCAACCTTTTAAAACAAAAGCAGTGATTTTCAGAAGTTATGACAAACTCCTTCTGCTGTGTTCAACAGTATTCATGAAGATGTTTAGACAAGGTTAGCAACTTTTTCTTCATCAGAAGTACTCACAAAATTAACAAGACACTAGGAAAACTATCTTTGCTATAAATTCAGGATATTACACACAATTGGGAAACCAGGACTACCCAGCAACTTTTAAAACTGTAACTGTGTGTAAGCTGTTGACCAAGTAGCTCTCTTCATAGCCTCACTGAAAGCCCAGTGCCTGCTCATTTCCTTGCTAATGCCATGCTATCTCCTACTATTCAAGCTGGAAAGCTGACATTTCCTTTTCCAAACCCCTACACCATTCCCTACTCCTTTCAAACTGACAAGCAAAAATTTTAAATGTGTTATATTTATAAAATAAAATTGTTTTTTAAGACTGTAAATATCAGTGTTTCTTTCCGATGTGGAAGGTAGAAAAATCTACATACAGCAGGAAAGTTTTACCAATTCCTCTTACTGGTAGCCTAAATACAGCAACCTTCATGATTCAGAATTTTAGGAAATGAGACCTCAGCCTGAGCTGCCACCCAGAGCTGAATGGTTGGCTGTGTGCCAGGATGCTTCAACCACCAACCAGTGATCAAAAACAATCTACAGCAGTCATCATACCAAAACCTCCTCTCACTTTCGACTCAAGGCTCATTAAAGGTCAACAAGGAAAATTAATATTAAGAATTAACAGAAAAGGAAAAAAGAAGCCTAAAGAAGATGCAGGTAGGAGTGATCATGACTATCAGAACATATGGATTGGCTCCCACATCGGGAGGGACTGTCTGACCAGCACCCTTTGGCTTCAAAAGAGGTCAGTGACAACTGAGATCTAAACAAATACTGAGTGGCTTAAACAAGGTAAAAGGAAACATATTCACTGACTCTTCTTGCAGGACAGAAGAGCTCTAATTGTAACTCTAAGTTGCTGGTCAGAACAAAACCAAAGTAATTCCTCATGCAAGTTATGCAACTTCTTGCTACAAGACACTGCAAAGAGTAAAGGTTTACTAGGATTCGAAAAACATTTTGACAAAGAAATGGAAGAATATTCCACAATGACTACTGAAAACAAACATTTTCAGCTCAGGAAACAGGTAGCTGAAGGAGCATATCAGGGAAGGATCAGCATAACCATGCCTGTTCTACTCATCTTTAGGCCCTGGCTTGGAACATCATCGTGATAGAGGGATGCCCTGAACGTTGGATGGATCTGGTGTGCCACCCTTACATTATTTTATGGTATACTTCAGGAGTTAAAAACATCACGAGAAGTTTTACCAAAAAGTCAAGGAATTCTCTTTTTTTTTGTTTTGTTTAGTTTGGTTGGTTGCGGGTTTTTTGCGGGGGAGGGAGTGTTTGTTTGCGCTTTGGTTTGGTTTGGTTTTAAATGATCTGGTTTTTAGTTTCATGGTTTTGAGGTAAACTTTAGTTCAATTTTCTCGCTTCCGTCCCCAGCTACCATATTCCGCAATGCTGAGCACTGAGAACATTGCCATTGATTTTCATCAGCAAAGGATCACACCCTAACTGCTTTCAATTTCACAGTTACTAAGCAACACTATGTGATCACAGCCTCTGAGTAAGCAACAGCCTGTATTCAAAGGTTTGAACCTTAGAACTCCATATAGACTTGGAACTTCAGCACCTATCGATGAACATCAGCTTTGCAAATCTTGGGTAACAAACTCCTGAAGTACAGAAATAAATACCTTGGGTGCTGTTAATTGAAATTAGCTCTACTGAACCACAAAATTTCCTTGTATCCTCATCATGGTCCTAAAACTAAGAGTATTTCTTACAATACTGCAAAGTTTCTGTATTAATGAGAATAAAAATAACTTTTCCTACATCAAAATTTATACACAGCACTCCTATTAAAATTATGTATTTAGGTATAGTTTAGGACGAAAAACAAAGCAAGCAAAAATGGGAAGTTAAACAGTGCAATAAGCTAGATTTTATACTTAGTGAAAATTGATTATCAAAATTATCTTCTGTGTTCACTTTATACTGAATACTTCGTCTGATGGTTTAGCACCACCAGACTTAGGGGAACATGTAACATCATTCCTGACAAGTCAGTGCATCTTTGCAGTAGTTCATATTTTTTTCAACAATTATATAAAAACACTGTCATAAGGTATATGTTTTTCTTTTAAAATAGCAACTTTCACTGTTAAAAAATAGTAAATAACACCATATTCTCAATTTTATTTGTTGTAGGAGGCTTTCCTGAATGCAAACAACTGTTAAAAAACAATCAATAAGTGGATTGGCTTTAGTGGAAATGGTACTTGCAGCCTTTAGTATTTGCTCATCTACACACCAAGACAACAGAAACCTTGTTTGCTGTTAACATGGAAAATCTGAATGGTCCAGAAGACTGGATCATTCCCACTGCCCAGTGAATGACAAGGATGAGGCTGTTTGTACCTCCCTTGGCAAATCTTGATCTGCGTTAACATTTTAATAACGGGAAATTTCAAGGGTGAGAAAGTGCTGTTGAAGTCCCCACACAATAAAGTTACCACAAAAAACTGCTGTAGAAACGACCTGTGTTTTGTGTACATCCATTCACATACACACACACAAATGTAAACAGTCATTGTTTTGAGGTCACAGCTTAGCTCTTCTTTCATCTATTAAAAGAACCTAAACTTAAGAATTGAGCAACATAAAAGCTTTTCAAGAAGAAAGCCTGGACACTGGTCTGTTGCATCTGATGGAAATAATATTACACAGCAGTCTTTCACTTCTAAGGCTCATCAGAAGCTGTATATTATATTTACCACACCATGAAAATAATAACTTGAGAAAGAACATTAGCATAAATCATTAATTCATTGGAGAGAAACTCTGGAAGAGGATATCTTTTTAAAAGGAAAATGATCACATTAAAATACATGTGAACTTTGAGGAAAACAAGCTGTGCCAAGTAACTGGTGCCAAAATTAAGTAATTCATAGTTATCATACTTGGATTTCAACAGGAGGAATTTAGACCATATGAAAATACAACAATAGCTTAACAAACCAATGGCAAAAAATTCAACTGAGTATTAACTTGGCTATCTGAAAGCATACTTGCTTTCAAATCATATTCCAAAAGTCTTCTGTACTTAATAAATAGTACTGGAAGATACTGAATGACAAAGGTCTGAACACACGCAGTCTGTCCTACGCTAACGAAGAATTACCTATTCTCAGCAAATGAAAAAGCAAGCACGCAAAATTTTCCATTTAGACATAAAAAAATCCACCAATTTCTCCTCTCCTTCTTCCATACTTATAAATTTTAGAAAGCAAAATTGTCAGGTGAAATTTCTGTGTAATAATTTCAATTAAAATAAATGATGTGCTCCTAATGCAGTTTGCAACTTCATAAATAACTAAATCAAGGAGAAAGGAAACAAAACAAAGGCAAAAATCTACCTACCGTTTACCCAGTGACCAAATAGCAATATGAAAAATAGCACATTCCTCTTTCTATACTTTAGAGACACAGGAGCACTTTGATATTCCAAATAATAGGGGATGTTATTTGCTAATGATACTTTAAAATCATAACTATGAATGCACTTGACACCTCTTGGAAAAGAAAAACAAACCTCACAGTCTAATTTGCAGGTTCTCTTTTAAAGCTGACATCTGTCTGTCTCCTTACTGTACAAAATAAAAGGCAAGCTTTCTGTTTGCAGGCTCCAGATCACTTGCTCAGCTGTTACTCTCAAATCACAGCATGCAAGGGCTGCGTTCCACCTGAGGGATATGTCTGCGCTCACCAGGGTAGAAGGGGACATTTCAGACTGTGCAGCTGATTGCTCTGGAAATGTTTGCTAACAGAGATGTCAATGAAGTAAAGGAGTTTCAGTACCTGAGTTAACAAGCTGTTGCTCCATGACCCCGCAGCCCAGGACCTCCATCCATTCTCCTTGGAAGTTGATCTCCATCTCAAAGGAAGGGTGAGTAAACGGAAAGTAGCAATCTACCCATCTGACTTGTAGTCCTGTAGCAGTGTTTAAATAAATAAATAAATATTAAAGGGTGTATGCTTAAAAGGCCATCCCTCCAACCATCTGTAAAACTTGCCCTTCAACTAATGACATCAATTACAGCAATCCAGAGAAAATAAATAGCAAACAAACTAATTTGCAACAGTCATGCAAGGCGATAAATCTTAAAACCTGTGGAAAAAAATGACCATGTCTTTTCTAATATGAAAAATGCTTTGTGCAATTCAAGCACCCTCTGAAACCAAATCAATCATTTGTCAAACTCTAGCAACCACCTGGCATGGAACAAAAGTGAGCCAAGATCATGGGAAAGTCAGTAATTCTGTTGTTATTCTTTGCACCAAGAAATTACTAACTGCTTCTTACAGGAAAGTCTTTAATTTTTACTATTTCGTGGATTGTCTAGGCAAGTAATTTTTTTTCATCAGAACCTAATTAAAATACAGAGCTGTTCTCTCTGTATAGGTTTAAATATGAAAGTTAAAAATAGATATTAATATACTCAAATAGAAATATATATGCACAGAGTTGTACACTATTAAGGTATGCAACACACAGCAGATAAGTCTAAGAGAAAAGCATCACTGGGTAACTCCCCATCCTCCTCCCCAGCTCAGCACCTCTGCAAATGCCACTGCGCAGAGTGAGGAAATTCCCGGCATCTCAGAGCAGAAGAGCCAGAAGAGGACAAGGTCTACACTGCTGCCAAAAGCAGAGTTGTTGTCAAGGCTCTCATTATATTTGATGAGCCTTAGTTCTTCTAATGATTTACAGAGGCTTTGTTTCACTAAATAATTTTTTCTGGCTATTAGGTGTCAGGAAAGAAGTCTCAGAAACATGAACTACAAAAACACAAAACAGAACTGAAGTGCAAAATCTGTAAGCTAATGCCTTAACCCCAAGCCCATCTTCCCTTCACTTAAGCCAAATACTAATCAGTATTAGGATCATTAAGAACCAGGCAAGTCCAGTTTTGAAAATAAGGGGCACAGCAAAAGTTGTTTGAGTGACAGTACCTGTTAACATTCCTGGTTTGATTTTCAGGCTTTTTTTGCGTCATTTCACAAAAGGAATGTGAAACATCAAATCGCATGATTTATACTGAAAGTTTTTCAAATAAAAATATTTTACGTAGCCTCAAGAATTTGATTTTCTTCGACTACTTTTGAAACATCAAATGTGGCTACAGAAACTGAAAAAATAAGCTACAACAAAAGTACATGCATGACCAAAATATAAAATACTGAATAGTTACAGGGAACTTTTCTAGATGTTATAAACTTTCAAGTGGTGAGGGAGGTTTAAAGATAAATACACTGGTACTGCTAGGTTTTCTTTTCTTTCTTAAAAATTAACCTAAGGAAATTATATGAAAGATAAAAAAGCTTTTTGATAATTTTACACACAGAACTCTGAAAACTGGAAGTATTTGCAATCAGACCATTCACCATTGTACTGTGATTTTAGCAATCATTTTATTGTTTTTTTTTCCTGCATAACAATAAAAAAATACATAGATCAAAAGAGTTATGTGTATATAACAGTATGGTATGCAGAAAATATTTTTTTAATTTCCTGATCTTGGCATTTTTAATTCTAGGGCTGTACAATCCTGCACACACTGTAAAGCCATACGCATATAAAATATTTTCATTTAGCTTGCAAAATTTGGAACTGTAGCAAAGACACTGAATATTCAAGTAGTTTTGTGTTCAATAACAACATTCAGATAATGGTTTCTTTTTAATCCTCTTATTACTTCAAAATGAAGATTTGGGAAAAAAAGGGATTTCTCAGCTGTTTGTTCTTAATTAAAATAAATTTTAAGAGATAAAAAAAGAATTTAAAGCTCTTTTTTATTTTTGCATTTTAATGCTTATTAGTACTTAAGAGGCTTTTGTTTTAAATGCGAATAAGCAAACAAACAAAAATCTGAATAAACCAAAACAAATTCACAATGAAGAAACAACTCTCACCTTCATTCTGTTCTCTAAATTAATAGTTAATCCCACATACCACAATAATTTTATTCATACAGTATCACGGCCAACTGGGAATACCTTTGTAGTTTATATTCAAGTGTTCTTTCAGGCTTTTGGCTCTAGAAGACTTTACTGAAATGCTGAGGGTGCTCAGCCTTCGGCAAGATTAAGCCTTCTAACCGCATTTCTATAGACTGTCACAGAATAAATGGGTACATTTATTATTTAGATACGAAATATTGTCTTGGTGCTCAATATATTCCCAAGGAATAAAGGGCATTGCTCATACTGAGCAAATCAGACCACTAAGGACTTAAGGATTATGAAGATTAGGCTTTCTGTAGTACCGTATAATTTAACTGATTAGGCCTAATTTATTTCTTCATATACAGCCTATGATAAGCTGGCAAAAATTGATCTTTTTCAAGAAATTTTGGAAGGCCAAGAGATGCGTGACACAGAGTACAATGCTGAATCTAACCAGAGACTGACCACTAGATACAAACTCAGCAACTTCTCCGGTTCAAAGAAATTACTTGTGTTACCAGAGGACACTCGCTCGTTTCAGAGCCTAAAAGTGTTCACGGGCGTCCTTCCAGTAGGCACATGTCCATTAGTAACTGTGGTGGGTTGACCCTGGCTGGATGCCAGGTGCCCACCAAAGCTACTCTATCACTCCCCTCCTCAGCTGGACAGGGGAGAGAAAACAAAACGAAAGACTCCTGGGTTGAGATAAGGGCAGGGAGAGATCGCTCACCGCTTAGTCACGGGCAAACCAGACTCGACTTGGGGAAATTAGTTTATTACAATCAAATCAGAGTAAGATAATGGGAAATAAAAACTAAATCTTAAAAACACCTTCCCCCCGCCCCTCCTTTCTTTCAGGCTCAATTTCACTCCTGAATTCTCTACCTCATCCCTGCCAGCAGTGGGAACAGGGAATGGGGGCTGCAGTCAGTTCGTCACTCCTTTTCTCTGCTGCTCTTTCCCTGCTCCAGCTGGGGTCACTCCCACAGAAGACAGTCCTTCATGAATTGCACCAGTGCAGATCCCTTCCACAGGGTGTAGTCCTTCAGGAACAGGCTGATCCAGCATAGGTCTCTCACAGGGTCACAAGTCCTGCCAGCAAACGTGCTCCAGCATGGGCTCCTCTCTCCACAGGGCCACAGGTCCTTCCAGGAGTCTGCTCCATCATGGTCTTCCCATGGGGTCACAAGTCTTCTCTGGGCATCCACCTGCTCCAGTATGGTGTTCTCCAGGGCCTGCAGGTGGATCTCTCCTCCATGGGCCTCCATGGGCTGCAGGGGTACAGCTGCCTTACCATGGTCTGCTCCACGGGCTGCAGGGAAATCTCTGCTCTGGTGCCTGGAGCACCTCCTGCCCCTCCTTCTCCACTGACCTTGGTGTCTGCAGGGCTGTTTCTTGCACATGTTCGCATTCCTCTCTCTGGCTGCATTTGTGCAGGGTTTTTTTCCCCTCTTTTAAAATGTGTTATCCTAGAGGCACTACCACCGTTCGTGACTGGCTCAGCCTTGGTCAGCGGTGGGTCTGTCCTGGAGATGGCTGGCATTGGCTCTGTTGTACACAAGGGAAAATTCTGGCAGCTTCTCACAGAAGCCATCCCTGTAGCTGCCCTGCTACCAAAACCTTGCCATGCAAACCCAACACAGTAACTTACATGTCACATCTCCAATAAGTATGGAAATAGTGAAAATTTATTGTTATTTCTGAATACTGAATCAAGGTAAGGAACTGGTCATAGCCTGCACTGAAGAGTAATGGTGTTATCAGATATTAAGCTAAACAAGTGCTAGCCTAATTGAGTCTCGTAATGAAAAAGGCTTGACCAAAGGCACTGAAAAAGAAAGAAAAGAGAAAAGAACAAACCAAACACATTAAAGCAGCCTATTGCTACACTACAGCACAGAAGCAACAAAGCCTGGGACCCAGATGGTCTTCACTGACCAGAAATTCTCTTTGTTCCTGTGAGGATTATTTTTAGACACGAGTTTATGCGAGAAAAAGGAGAGGGGCACAGGGTGGGCGCTGGGAAGCACAGAAGGTATCGAACTGCGGCCTCTTGAGGTGAGCGTCAATTTGTAACTACTCTGCACCTCGTTGTTGCAGATAATTCATCACACTTGCAGCAGACAGGAGCTGGCTGCCCATAAACCTACATTAGCTCACATTTTTCAGAAGTTATTTGTCAGACCATTATGTCCTCAATAAATGATTTTTTTTTCTTTCTTTTTAGACTCCTTACACCTACAGATCTCCATGTACTCAAAGGAGGTATCAGTACAACAGAGTTAAAAAGAAGAAAGAGCAGAACAACGTGTTTGATTTAAAAGACATCCAGTGGTTGTTCAGTGAACACCAGCAGCAGCAAAGCCATCAGTCAAAGCACAGCATCACCCACTCTTCTGCCTCCCCTTACCAGTGCCTAGAAACTGGGTAGATAAATATGGGACAGCAGTGAATTTTGAGCCATTTCACGTAAAGCAACAAATCACAGAAGTAACACACAATCATTCTTTTCTATTTGCTATAGTAAGATTATTTCTGAATCTCTCAGGCTCCAGAAAGCTTCTGACAAACTATGGAAGGGTTACAGAAAGAACTGTAGTTGAGAAGGACTAACTAACTTCATAGAGAAACCTAAGACAGTTTATCTTGGAAAGCCTTATTACAAGGTAACTTAAATGAGATATAACAGAATTCCTACACTGATAATCTGTATGGGGAGATGGAGGTGTAAATTAAATTACTGGATTTCAAGTGTGCACCTTACCTAGAGGTAATAGAGGAAAACTAAGAATGTGATATCTAGGTGTAGTATTTGAAATAGCTTCCTGATATCATAATCTCATAAAAAACCTAAAGATAATTACTTGTAGAATGCAAAATCAGACATGGCATACCACTAGAAAATCTCATAAATAGAACTGTCTTACACTGTGAAGTATTTAAGACAGTTCCTTGCATGATCCAGATCTTTCCCCCTCCATCTAATATCTAAGTAATTCCTTTGTCTGTTGTCAAAGCCAGAAAGAAATAAAAAGACAAACTTTTGGAATAAGTGTAGATAAAGAGTCAGGTAAAGCAAAACTGTCTCATTAAATATTATGAAAACTAACCTAGAACAATGTAGAGGAAAAAACATTGGAAAAAAAAAAAGGTCAGTTCAGTGATCTGACCTTTCTGCAGAGATCCTGCAGGGATCCTCAATCTGTCATCAATCTGACATGGTAAATTCCCAGAGAAGTACTGCAGAAGCACAACTATCCAATTCCAGGACTTCAGGGCACAAGTTAGTTTATGCAAAATTAACTTGCACAGCAAACAATCTACAATCCAAACAATCTGCCTATGAGTAACCATTGACTGTGTGATAACGTAACATTTCAACAGCTCACTGCAGCAATGGTCATGCTTGTCCTGCTAGAAAAGATGTGCAACTTCACTACAATATTCTGCTGACAGGACAAGCTGTAAAGAATACAACTGATGTGAAGTATAAAAGGAATGAAATTTTTGCTTTTAACAGAACATGAGGTCCTACGGAATGCCCACCCAAAGGAAAAATACAGAAATTTCCCAAGAGCAATAGACACAGTAAAACACATTTTAAAATTAAGTTAAAATTTACAGGTGTTGAGACAAAAAAAATTATCAAAAGTATTGTGTCAAGAGTAAAACAGAAGTGAAAAGATTACAGTAGTCAAAAGAGAAATTTATTTATGTGTGTCCCAAGAACTTGCAGTGCACCGATCTCATACACCTAATGTCTAAAATGAAGTTTGCTCTCTGAATACTATATTCAAGTATTTCCATGAAATGTGGGGGGCAAATATATATATATATATAATTTCATTTTAATCACTAACTATATCTTGTCTTTGCATTTCAGGAAAAATACAGCTGGTATAGAAATGGAAAATCCCTACAGTAAGAAGGTGGCATCTACTTTTAGTCTGTATGTTTAAAATAATTTATTAATATATTTTTAATTTCTTTCTAACTACTGTGTGGACTGCAGAAGAACTGCCAGCATGTTGAAGCTTAAAGTGTAGCCTCTGTCAACAGCTAGAGAAGGATGAAACTGCAGCCTGAGATATCACTAATAACTCCTAGAAATTGTTCACTTTAAACAACATCCCCAGCATCTGAGGTTGATCTAAAAATATCATTCTTACTATTACTCACTTTGATCCTAATCTTGTATGTTTCAAAAGACCACTGTTCAGTAAAATACACCCACAAGAAACTCTGAACTGAAGAACTTAAAAATTTTTGTTCAGGTGGAATAGAATAAAACCAGAAAAATATTCAAAAAATCATATATAGGACTTGGTATCATTATCAATCCACTCTTGGAAATACTGCTCTAAGTGCAGTAAGCATCTTAAAAGACCTTTGAAAGTAGGCAAGATACATTCTAATACCATCCAGTATTTCCTCAACAGAAAAATGAATCAGCTCAGAATAGCAGCCTCCTTGCCAAGGAAATAGCATTAATGTAGCAATTTTGACTCAGGCCATTTATAAATTCTGTTCCTGAAACTGAAAGCAGGTATTTCTGAGGAGAGAATATTTCATTCATATACATATTCATTACCTTTCCTCATCCCACTGTAAGTACCAAAAGACAAGTATTTTTCAGCTTGGCATAAACTTAGCAAACACCGTCTCCCCTCAGCTGCAAGGTTTAAATTCATTTGCACATGGGAAACGCTCAAGGTGCTTCGTGTGTGTACATAGCAAAGCAGCATGTGCACATACGTACCCCTTCCCTGGTCCTGTCCATCTCCATGCTGCTGGTGAGAAGTGAAAATTGCCCTGTACCCTCCCCAGCAGCACTCAAGCTCTCACGCACCTCTAGATGCGACGGCGCACCCATTCCCTGTCCCTCCGAGGACACGGGAGGCTCTTGAAGACAAAGCAAAGGGGGTCCTGCACAGCTTTGCACTGGAGCTAGAGTTGCCTCTCCTCGCAGGTCCCACACTGACAGGTCTGCCACTTTTACTCTAACACACTGTTTCTGCCCGACGAGTGTTCGTAGTTGAGTCTGGCATGTGTCCCCACCTGTATTCATGCCCACTACATTACCCTGACATGCTGCATACCAGAATATTTTCACAAAAACCTGATGATTCAATGCAGTGTTGTGTGCACCGGTATTTAGGAAAACCAAGAAAGGAGCGTGTGGCCTCTTGAAAATAATAATTTTTTAAAAAAATTCTGTATTCCAACTATCAACATCACCCCTAAGCCTCCTGTTTGTATTTATGCAGCAAAATCTGTCTCCATAGCCCAAGCAACTACAGCCACCTGGAGCAGTCCAGGAGAACCTACCGTCACCAAAGATGTGAGTCATGAGCTTTGTGAGCACTTGCTTCAGGTTGAACTCCACCAGCCTCACTGCCTCCATGGTGTGACACTCTTGCTTGTGGGCAGTGCGATGGCCTCGCTCGAACAACTGTAAACCTTCGCCATCTTTAATGTTGGAGAACAACTACAACAGAACAAAAATACCAGTGTTTTGCAACAATGACTTTCTAAATGAAAACAGAAAACGGAATTTCACTGATTCAAGTGGAAATCTTACCTGCTATGTCTGCACCATGAAAAAGAAACATAAAGACTGTGATTTTATACAAATTCTGTTCACTAAATGCAGAGATAAATCATCATAAGAACAGAAATATTGAAACAATTAGATTTGTTTTATTTCTGTATATTGTATCTTCAAATAATATGATTAGCTACAGGAAAATATTAATTTATAAAAGAACAATCTCTCTTTTTCTGATTCTGTTACTGTGAAAGCTATCATGCAGAACAAAGTCCTCTGTACCATATAAGCAAACCATACCTCACGGCTTCAACTTTTTTAGTAACTGAATGATATAAAAGAAATACCAAAACATCCAACACTTTTTAAAAGGTATAATCAAATTAACATTAAAAAGTAAAAAAAAAAAACCACAAAGCCATAAAAAAACCAACTAACCAAAAACCAACAAAAAACCCCTAAACCAACCAAACAAAAACCCACCTAAACAAAAAAAAAAAAAATCACTGGCGGTTTAATGAGACCTTAAGATGCTCACACTTGATTCATCTTGGGAACAGTTTACTCATTTAAGAACTACCATTTTCCTGCATATTCCCATACACAGCATCCTTTTTGTGTACAGGGATTTTATCTATGGGGCATTTAAGGATTCGTGTTCTTGAGTTGGGGTTTCCAGATAAATTACAAAGCACATGGACAGCTCTTTTGGGATGTGACAGACTTGTTCTTTATTCAGAGGCTGCTCCCCACCACATCTGCTGCAAATTGAAGATTTCTGTTTCCTGCATATCCCTGCAAGTTTCTGGCCAGGTGAACCCAGACAGATACAAACAAGCAAATCTACATCCTCTCAGAGAGACCAATAAAACACTAATTAAACAGCATCATTGGAGGCTCTGTGTCCTGGGGAGACAAGCAGGCAGTTTTATACTCTAAACAGTATTTTTGTTGGAAATCCTTTCAGCTGTACAAAAAAATTATATCTGTTAAAGTCTGGAGAATAAGGAGAGCCAATTGTGAAAGTGTTTCTAGTGCCCTTTCCTACCTCTCCTCCTCCAGCTTCCCACAGTCAATCAAGCACACACAGAGGGAAAAAACATGCACCGAGATTTTCTTCCCATTAGGCTTCCCAGCATAACTAGCTCTTACTCAGGAGATGCCACGAACAGTGTGTAACCTTAACAACTCACAGATGCCTACAGAAGTTGTTTTAATTGCAGTTTGATGCCTTCCGCACACTAAATGCTCTAAACAGAAAGTTCAAGTGAACCTCTGGTAGCCTACAAATGCTGGATATAATTAATTAAGAGAAGTTTCTAGCACTTTTCATACAAACACAAAGAATGCCTGAAAAGTCTGAGTTTAGACAGCATGCAAACTAGCAGCAAAATGGATTGAAGGAATAGAAAAAAAATCCAGTAGCGTTTAACTTTTTATTGCTAGTCGCAAGGAGACTGCTGGCAGCTTGAAAAAGCACCTCTCCACTTAATCTCCTTAGTGTGCTGCAGAAAACACCAAATAAAAAAGGAAAAGGATAAATACCAAATAAAACGATTCTCCATCAGTCAAAAATGCCTTTACTAACCAAAAGGCAACAGCTTGACAAAACTAGGCATTACACTTTTAAATAATAGATTCTTTATTCAAGTGCACCTGAAAGATTAAACCCCCTTCTTCCTACTGGCATTATTTCTGCCCTGGATGGAACAAGCAGATGACACCCACCCTATAACTAATTTGCTCTCAGTAGGACAGATTGGTCATCCAGCATGGGGTTTTGAAAGCCAGGGGGAATTCACAGAGGCCAGCATTAGCCCAAGGAGGATAATTGTCTTAGGCTCACCAGGTGGCGAATGGAGAGACACAGGCTTCCTCACAGAGAAACACAGAGTGGCTAAATTAGGTTCCTGCTCTGAACTACCCTATACAAGTAGCTATTTTCCTTTCTATTGACTGCCTGACTCAGTAAGCCAGAAACTTCCTTCAGGCAACAGAGATGTTTCCCCTTTTGACCAGAACATGCTCTATTTACACATTAGAAGGTACATTCACTATTTTCCCTATCAGCAGTACTTTAGGACATAAAACTCTTTTCTTAATTTTCCCCTTCGTTCCTCCCTTCAGCTTAAAACTGGCTCCCTAGACCACCGTAAGAAACAGTCTGGACACTAGCCTTTAAAATACAGCATATGTATCAACAAGTACACAGAAATACTTTTCCTTACCGCTGTATTATTCCTGAAACGTGGATGTTGTAATTACTGTCTTAAGCAAGATTTTATTTTAGTAGTTTATATCAGATGTGGAAATAAAACTTGTGCAAGAACCATTAAACACATTTAGCCATACTCCAGCCCTCTAACCTGCCTGAGTCTTCATCCTGCCAAACTAGTCATATGCACCATCTCCTTTCCCAAGCCAGGGTAAGTGTCCACGTGGCAGTGTACTGAGTCAGGCTGGGAGATGGGTCTGGTTAAGCAGTAACCCAGAAGGGAAGAAACTGAGGGCATGAAAATGGTCAAGTTCAGCTCAGTAATCAAATATCAGCACACCAGTGACACTAAGAGACTTTCTGGCAGATGGAACAGGGCTGGGCCACTTTAGACACAGCTGTGATTCTACTCCAGTTCAGACAGGCTGTGAAAACACAGCTATTGGGAAGTCCCCAAAAAACAGTCAGCGGCAAGAAAACAGTCCCCCTTACAGGCAGGCACCAAGATGCACTTTAGTATTCTCCATAGAGGCTCCATCAGCTCCTGTCAACTCCAGTGCAGCTGTGGATGGGATTATACTGAGAAAAAAAAGATCCCTTACAGTTGTATTAATATTTATTCCCCACTTTCCATCCCCACTTTTCATCCAATATGAACAGCTTTAACTTATACACTAATTTCACTATTCACAATGATTGAACTGTGTTAAGTAGATCTCTTGGATTAGGAACACTTCAATTTTTCTATAAAGCCAGGAAAGACAAAGGTCGGATAAAATGAAGAATCACCTATGGTTGCTCCTTTTTGATGTCAATTTTTCTCAAGCACATATCTGAGCAAATGGAGAAAAAAAATATGTAACAAACTGGCATATAACACTGACACATTCAAGACGTCACATTTTCATGTACATTTATTCCTTCAGTGCACACTAAATTAAAATGCACTATTTTATTGTATTGAATAAGGTCAGTCATTACTACTACCAGAAAAGAAATTTCCTGTAGCCATAAATCGAGCATCTATGTGTCTGTCTAGTGTAAGGACAAGAAGCTTTTTCTTTTAGTGAAAGTGTGCAAAACATTGACTATTGTGTCACCATGCAGAAGTTAAAAAATTAATAATTACCAGGATTTAACAGCATATCTAATTATGCTGCATTACAAAGGAGCAGGAAGAAAGGAATTGAAGTGACCTAACCATGTGGCATGAAATTTACTCACAATTTAGTTCATAATAAGAATAAAATGATATTTGATAACATGTAATGGCAAGAAGATGCAGGGTTTTAATTGGACAAATACAAAAGGAGCTACACTCCCTCAAAAGCACATTCTCGTATTTCTCAGCCTGGCACAAAGGGCAGAAGTCACACAGGCGATTTAAATCAAGATCCCAATGTCTCCTCAGTCACTTGACAGATTTTTTGGTCTCACATTCCTTCATTATCCATACGTTTAGGATTCAATCCAAGATTAAGTGTCTCTTTATAGGACGGCATTCTGTCTTTCCACAATGCAGTTGTGTATTCCTCCTGCCAGTCATGCATTGATTAAGATAATGAATAAATCATGCTCACAGACAAAGCAGCATTTAAGATTATCTCTACATGAAGATCTGCATGTGGCAACACTTGACCTTGCCACACCAAATACATTTTGTCTCACTGGCCCCGATAAATGTCCCTAAAAATGAACCAACAGCTGCACTTACTAAGAGTAAGCCATTTCCATAACATTTTAAAAGTGCTGTGGAACTCAAAACTCAACCAATGGATCATGAATGATGAAGATGATGCCACTCACAGACATCTCAAAGAGAAAACCTAATGTCAGTCTCAGTCAGCCTCCAAGATGTAAACCTGCACCCCAAGCCAGGCAGTTTTAGGTACCAAAAAAAACCCCAACTCACTGTCTTCATGACAGAAGGCTCTTTATTGCATATCAAGAAGAATTGGTTTGGGGAGAAAAAGGCAAAAATCACTTGAAGCCACAAGCTTGCAGGTGCTCACCTTAACTTGTACATCCTTCCATTTTCAGTCCTCCAATTACAGCAAAGAAAGGTTATTTCTATTGTTTGGTTGTTTGTTTTACCTAATGAAAATGTTTCTGGAAGCAAAGGGAAAACAATTGAGGTGTCTCTGAACCATAAAGAAAAAGTAACACTGCTACAAAGATACCTGTTATAACGAGACAATAATATATTATCGGACTCAGACTGCTGCTTCTGTGGCAATAGAAATTCCTTTACTTTTAAGCACCTTATACTTCCCAAATACATCATCGTCACTGGTCTACTCTGGCCTCCAATCGGGAGGTCTGGAGACACACCATCTATAATGCTGCTGCTTCTTTTGAGAACGCACGCAGGATCACTCTCGAGGAGAAAAGACAACGCAGAAAGAATCGTGTCTTGTCGATACCATCCAAAGAGTCTTTCTGCTGTGCCTTTTGCAACTGGACTTGTCTATCTCACACTGGCCTTTTTAGCCACCAGCGCACTTGTAGCAAGTGTGGGTAGAGCCCTTCCCAAACCTTTGTTCGCAAAGCCTAGCCATGATGATGCTTTCTCAAATACACTTGTAGATATTTTGCTCTTTTTTTCCCTACACAATTAAAATATCACATTGAATAGACTTAACTGCTTTATTCTGAACAGTATTGTTGGATTTATTTTTTTTTTAGCTGGATGACACAAAGTAAGACAAAGTTCAAAAAAATATTTTACATAACGTCTTTGCAATAAAAGATGCACCAGTGGTTTTCGAACTTTCTAGACCATGGACCACTGTGAAAATCTCACAGACCTTCTGATGTCCTTCACTGTCAAATTTTCAACTAAAAATAACAAAGAATACAATTTGGGTCCTCAGACCAGTGAAGATCTATTTATTATGGCATGATTTATATACCACAACTGGGAAAATACTGAATACTACAATATGCACAACTAAGATAGACAACTGCAAAAGTGAAGTCAGTTCCACCTGAATTAGACAGGCCTTCTATTCCTACCACTCAGCCAAACTGCAGGAATAGATTCATCTCAGAATATTCTAGAAAAGTAATGCTGCTACTCTTTTTCTTATCAAGGTGCCTCTGCTCCTGGACACCCTTCACTGTTCCTTGAGAGAAAGAGAGGCATTTCTAAGGCTCCTTGGGACTGATGCTTTGCTCACAACCCTATCCATGAGTGGCAGAGGGCTAAGAAGAGTACCTTTCCTTGGCCACTTAAACCTTCTAAAATATTTGTTCCTCAGTGCTCAGCTAATCATTGCTATTATGACTCCCAGTTACATACACGAGTATTCTCAAACATACTGTAAAAGCTCCAAATCACTACATATAATAGGCTGATCTCTGGAACACTATAAGTTGATTTAAATTCCTTTACATGTGAGCATTAAAAAAGTGACTGAAGACAAGAAGGAGCTGTCCTTTGATACAGTGTCAGAGCAGAAGTACAGTGTCTAAAGCTGCAGTAGCATACAGAATTTTGGAGAAGTCAAATCTAAAGACACTTGTTTTGCAAGTGAAAACCTAGGATAGCACTTGATTTAACAAAAAACCAAAAACAAACAAAAAACTCCTGTAGATTATTGGTCAATCAAGTGTTCATACCTATCCCAAAGCATAAGGAAAAGGACAAAAGCAACTTTTTTTTTCTTTCTAACAATACAAAAGTATTATTGTCAAGGTATACAAACATGGGAAGATGAGGAAAGGAGTACGTATTTAGATGACAACTAGAAAAATCTCCTTTTATATTACCTAGATTAAGACTCTCTACATTTCAGGATATAAACACTAGAAGTAACTCTTTTTTTTTTTTTTTTTTTGCATTTATATAGAATGCTTTGGAGAAGTAGTCCTTTGTAACTGGAATATCTACCATTTTTACATTGTATCCTAAAAAAAAGTTGTTGTTTCCACCATAAACATTTCAGTGCAGAATAAAGATCTATCCCTACTACTTCTAGCACAAACATGCATTTCTTCATCTAAACAATCTAGTATTGGCCTCCATTGGAACAAGGTTACTGAATTAGAGGAGCGATTCCTATGTTTTAGCATCTGTTCCCCTTAAAATTTATGTATAATTCAGTACAGACTATAAAACACCGTATGAAGTCTCCTTCCAATGTGTAAACATTTTTTTATATCAACTGAAAGCTGTTCATTGACTGCCAATGGGTTTATATTGGCTCCCTCTTCTGGCTGACATGCAAAAAGTGCAATTTATTGAGATTTTTTTCTCTTTTCCATAAATTGTGGAACTGCATCAAAGACAACGGCATAGCAGAGAAATAATTTCTTTTATAATCCACCCAGGAAAGTTAGCCAGTTCAAATCTGACTATAGTAGTATCAAAATTGCCAATCCAAAACACTAAAAAAAGGAAAAAAACCATAATCCATAGAAAGGCAAAAATCTAAACAACCATCAGAAGAAAAACAGGCATGTTGGAGGAGGATAATAAAAAAGAAAGACTGTTTGGGGGTACTGTTTAAGAAAAACAGTTCATTTTATGTTCAGATCTGAAGCAGATCTAGGAAGCTATTTTTGGCTCTGGTTTTAACTATTTATATTAGTTCATTTCTAACTGTTTTATATATTACATTCAGGTAATAATTACCTAAAATATTTTTAAATATATTGAAAACATGTCTAAATAGATTTTCAAATGTTCTTTGATAGCCAGTCCAAGGACACTTTTTAAAAGTTTATGAGAAATTTAAGCATGAATTATTCTAACTTTTAGCAATGAGTTAGTTTGGAAGATGTAATTTCTTTAGTACTTTAATATCTGCACTCAAACAAAGCCACAGAAAAGCATCAGTTACCTGCCCATCTTTAAATTATAGATTAACTTTCTCTTTAAAAAATAATCAACCAACCATCATGAAGCCAAAGAGACAAACAGCTCACAAATATCTCAGAATAAACACTGTAAATTTGCCAAACTCTGATTTGTTTTTCCAGCTCTTACTTCCACTGTGTTGACTTTACCTTTGATATGAAGAAGATTATACTGAATACAGGGCAGGAGTTTTAACCTAGTCTTGACTACAGCGTGTAAAATTACTCTATTGGCCATAAGATGAAATGTACCCAGGACTTGTAGCTAAGAGCTAGCACTTTTTCCCTCGGTTCCAAAGATTCTGATCCTTGGTACTGTGGAAATTTCATCTTCCCGGAGATTGCAGCCTGATTATGAATGAAAAGTTTGAAGCAAGGGTAACAGGCCTTGACATTCACACATTTCTGCTCAGTGGGTTGCAATTTAAACATGAGTACAAATAAATTATTATTAGAATATTTCTCTCATGTAGTATTACCTCTACTTAGTCTTTGTTCCGCTCAGGTAGTTCCTCTGGAATTATTTAAATGTGGATTATTTTGAACAGGCAACCAGAATATAAAACACAGGAACAGTCCCCAGTGAAATTTCAGAATTACACATTCAGTTTTTTCCACGAGGCTCTTGTGATTATGACTGTAAAAAGCGTTACATATGGCAAGGCTCTATCAACATTTAAACATGAACTGAAGCAAAAAAGAATGCTTCAGATCATGCTCAGGTTTAGAATTTCTGCATGTTGCCCAATAAACAAGACTTTACGCATTGTACACCACACCACTATTCTTTCTTTATCAATACAGAAAGTCCAATGGACTTTCATTCTTTAGAGAGACAGATACATTTTCCAGCACATAGCTAATTTCAAATCCATCAGCTATTAATGTTCTCCAATATTTCAATCGTTTTCTTGGTGCAAGAAAGAAGATAAAAAGAAACAAGCAATTTCCAGTAAAATGAATGAGATTGTTAAACATTGCATTTTTCTAGATAGAATATGACACTGAACATTTCTGTATACTCTGTTCCCAGTTATTAAAATCCTACTATTCCTATTATTAAATTTGTAGAATAGAAAGAAATAGTCTGTCATTAAGATTAAAATTCCTTAAGGGGTATATTCATTAACAAGGATTTCAATAATTAGATCAATCATACCTAAATTTGCAGAAATTTCATCCTGCAAGAATGTTGATATTATAATTTTGTGGCAGATAAAACCTTTACATCTGAATGCCTGAATTTCTGCTCAAGTTAAAAAAAAAAAGTCATGAACAAAAAACATTAAGAAATGGTATTTTCTTAATATAGTATTATACATTTTTTCCATATACTCTGATTGTATTTCATAAGTAGGCCTATGGGAAAAGAACAGCAAATAAAGAAGACCGGAGAAGTCTGTAAGACTTCCATTTCCTGGTTACCAAAGAAGCAGTTGCAGGCTGGATTCCACACCACACAGCTCACAGAACACCTGCAGAGGTAGGAATGTGTTTGTACTGGGGGAAGCAGTGGCCACATGAGGTGGGAAACACCAGTGCAGGCAGTGCAAACACCTCCCATCACAGAGAAAAGCAGTGCTCTATGATTACCCTGGTTTTCCCTCAGGCATCCAAACCCATCAGGCTTCCCTGCCAAGCTTCTGTCACCCATTGGCAACCACATTAAGAAGGTCTACATCTCAGTATTATTAGAATAAGCTAGTTTTAGTTATAGAAATGTGAATTTGGCAGTATTGCTACAAGCGTACACAAATTATACAAATCAATTACTATTTGGAAAACAAACTGGCTTATATTTACCACTGATCAATGATGCAGCAGAGTACTTAATGACACCCAGGCACTTGCAGAACATGCAAGCTGTGCAAACAAAATATATAAACTTAAGAATCTTGGACATCTACCTAGAGCTCTTTAGCTGATGCTTCTGGACTCTAATGAGTTTACTGTGTATGCATCACACACACATAAGGATTGGCTACAACAGAATCCTTCAATGCAGCTTTAGGATGAGTTGAAAAATAGAAAATTACCTTAAAAAATGACATTCATTTACAGTCAGTGCTATTAAAAGAAGAAAAAAGACAACAATAAAAACTGCACGTTGGATGTAGCTGTAACAACTCACACCCATGAGTCCTTCAAGTATAATTTGATAGGCTTTTGGTAAAGTGATCTCACCAGAAGAGAGTTGTTGATAGAAATATAATTGAATTGTGCAGATCATTAACTGAACAAGTTGTTTCCTTTCAGGCTATGGTTTTTTAGCTTTCAACAATATTATCTTTTCATTTCTTCATATTTTTCTGGGGAAGTCTACAGTTTTCAAATTCAACATTTTCTGTCTATATTTTTCTCAAAGTATTACTGCATGATCCATCTTTATCAATGTACAGCATAACATGTGTTGCTGTAACACACTTTCGTGCATGAACTTTGCTCGCAGCAAACACAAGACCACGCAACTTACCCAAAGTCTCTGTCACCCCAACTAGAGAATTCTTACCTCATGACAGGAGAAGAGTCGAACTCCTTCCATCTGATGGAAGACTGGGTAGTGGGTGTTATCGATTGTATCTCGCCGGTAGACATCTCCCACTGCCAGAAAGGCGTCTAGGCCAGAGTGTATCAAGTCCCACTGATGAGCTGATGTATGTGCTCTTAGCATGTGGTCACGATTCAAGTAATAGTTATCCTCTTTCCTTCTGCTGGCATGGTTTTGAGGGATAAGTAAACTATCAAAATTCTGCTGTACTGTAACCACTGGAGAAAGACCATCATAAACAGAAAAGAGTGGAGTCCCACGCCGTCCTATATAGTGTTTGTAGAAGTGGTCCTTCACCTGCTCCTTGATTAGCCACAGTGGGTGATGTTTTCTGTTGTGCAAGTTCTTCCCCACCTTGGAAAGAATCTTCTCTGTGACATTGCTGTAGTCATCCTGAGGATAAGTTTTACCAAGCAGTTCCACAGTATTTGAGCATGGTGCACTGGCAGCAAAATCTGAAGGTACAGACTTGGATGAAGAATGCCTTGAATGGGTGGGAATTCCTCTTACCTTTACTTTTGGTGATAAAGCTGTTTTCGAATATTTAGCTACTCTCATGAACTTCCACAGCATTGCCATTGTGAACTTTTTTATAATCTAGAGAAGTAAAAAAAGAATTAAAAAAATTTGAGTTAGGAACAGCAATCTTGCTGTAGGAATTGCTAGTGTCTCAGGTATACATGAATCCAAATGTCTGCTAGATTAGTATGACCACGTTTCTGTTATAAACCACTGTTTTGACTTCAGAGGAGGGAAAATATCCTTGTGATCAAATTTCAGCTAGGATATCTTATTCAATTATCGGGCTTCTGCATCACTGCATCAGTATTAATGACTCCAGAACTATCTTTAGCCCTGTTCTAGAAAATGCTCTTTACAGCTGAATAAACATCAGACCTTCTTTCGAACAGTATTTTTCATCCAGTTAAAACATGAGGCAATAACCAAACATTACTTCCAAGAAACTCAAATTTAACAGTGGCCTTTGGCAGGCAGAACTTGCTTATAATAAAACCCCAAGCATTAACTTCTTGTTGTATCACCTCCCCCCATTACCAGAAGCTGCAGAACACGTTTCGGATCAACCTGATGTATGTGGCACACACTGCAATCACCACTAATTCTTACTTAACACCAAACAGAAACCAGTTTAACCTTTCAAACTACTGAACCACTTTGAAAAACAAACAAACAAACAGATGGTTAGACCACAAGCCATTTATTTATATATAAACAGAACATTAAGTTCACTATGAGTATTGCACAAGATTCTCAATAAAGGCCCCATATAGTCAGAACCAGTGTTAGCATTTTGGGGCAAGCACAAAATCCCTTTTTCCACATGTTCCCAGGAAGGCTATTTTTACAGCTTCCACTGCTGTACTGGGCAGACAAGGTTGTCAGATATCAGGAAGGCAAATGAGGTGATGAGATTCTTAAAGTTGTCTGGACTGAAGTACTCATTTCCTATCCAAGGGCCATCTTTACACATCCTCCCTATTTACAAACAGGCTTTGTGTTTCATGCATACACAGCTGCATTACTCTGCAGCGTTCAAAGAGAGACTTACAAAACCAAGAAGTTTTGAGGATGATGAACCTTTCGGTCACTCCAAATTACTTTGAAATGCAAAATTTCTTGAAAATCTATAGTTGAGCTTCAGAAATATTAGCATAAATTCCAGTAAAATAATTAAAGCATTACAATTTCCTTATTACAGAATGGGAAAACAGAGGTATTAGAAGTTAAGTCACTGGGTAAAGACATCTGCTCCAAACAAACTGGCTTGTATTTCCCTATGAACCAAGAAATAGAGGGCCACAGGTTTCCTGGGTGAAAGAGTTTTCTGTGAAAGTCATCTTAAAGAACCGGGGGAAGACAAGACATTAACAATGAATACAGCACACTTTTCAAGAGATGCCTTTCCATCTTTATGCTGGGATTACAATCTGGCTTACTTTCCACAGGAACATAAGAGAAACAAATGTAAATAAAGAACGAGCAAGTTAAGATTATTTTTCATATTGTCGTGCTTTAAAATATGTATGTGAATAGAATAAACACATAGCAGAATATAGTCAAAAAAAAACAAAACTGTAAAAGACAATGGGTATGTTCACATTTGGCCTCCTTTCTCCTGTCTTATGCCTAGATGTTCTCTATGGGTCTGTTTCATGCAGTAATTGTATCTCAATCAATTAAAATAAAGGCAAGTCAGGTAGACAGAAATTAAATTTGGCAGGCAGCATAATATTTGCTTTAATCCTTTTTCTGGTCGGATATCTTCAGAAGTAAAGAGCAGTTGCAACTCTTATCTAGTTTTGAAACCTTTAAGAAGGACTGCCTTTGGCAGGGGGGCCAGTTAAGAGTTTACAAAACTATTTCACCAAATTAGTTATTGACCATTACTGAGAAAGTTCACCCATAAATGAATTCACACAGACACAGAAACCCCTCTGACACAGGCTAAACAAGGGACAGTCTTACATTCTGAGAAGAGGTTCCATTTTTCCGAAACATACATTCTCCTTCATGGAAAGAAAATTCTCATTTTTAAACAGCTGCTTGAAATATCCAGTTCTAGTCAGATAATGAATTCAGCTTCCCTTAAGTAAATATCACCATCTGCCCATACATTTATTTTTCTAAAAAATTCAATTCAAAACTTACACATAACTGTAATGTACAAAAAACTCTCGTGACTTTATTGTAATTCTCGTGATGTTTGCTGGTTTCCTAAGTATCATTCCTCTGAGAATCAGACAACCATATGAGAAGTTGAACTTTCACAGAAAGAGTTCTCATGATTATAAATCTATGGAAAGAGAAATTAGAACGTGATCCATAAGTGTTGGGGAGGGGGGATTTTTATTTGTTCCTCTGTTTATTTTAAGACTCATTATTTATCAGGGAGTCTCTAACGTATACATCTCTAAGGGCATATCTGATATTTCAGCATTTGTAATGAGCAACATTTTGGTATCAGTTCCTGATAGTTCAGAAACACTAATTTTTCTGAGCAAGTGATATATACTCCTCACAAACCTGTACGGGAGAAAAACCTACAGAAGAAGTTGTATCAGAGTTTTCATCCTAACATTATGCTTGTGCCTTAGATAGTTAAATGGCATTATTACCTGTGCTATTATTCCAATCTGAAGCAAAATCTACTGTGAGCAGTAAGGAAAAATGTTACAGTTATACAATCTTTTCTGATGAGTTATCCAACGTCCAAGTACTGCAAACAACAGCAAACATGCACTAAAGGAGCCACTGACATGGTATCATAGAGAGCACCAGCAACACTGAAGTCCTTCACCAACACTCTGCTGCTTCCCTCTCTCACCACAGACCCATGTATTCTTTTTCCAGGACCTTTACAGAAAGATGGTATTGGACTTAGTCCAACTCAGCTGGTCATAACTTAGATTTGGGGAGAGAAGCCACAGAGAAGAAAGAAAAGAAAAACATGTTTACACTCTGTACACCGTACACAAAATATTCAAATCAAAATAACGTTTACCAAGGTGGAGACCAATACTGGAAGATAAAGACATCTTTTTACCTTTCTCATACCAATACATACCCAGTGTTAAGAACACACTAATTACTTATGTTCACTTAATAACAAACAGACAGTTATTTATGTCTATTTATTTCTGTCTACAGTTACCTAAACATCTACAAAAAAACAGTTTAAATTTATAATTTTCTTTCTTTATTTCCACCATGCTTATTATTTGGCAGTGAAACAAAACTGGTTTCTGTGCACACTGACAAAACCTGAATCCCACAGAAAGGACTGCCAGTCAGCTAACAAGCACAGCGAGCCAAACAGCAGCTGCAGGTCCTGTAGCTGAAAACAAGTACATAAATGGGAAATAAACATTGAACAACCACCACTGGCATCTACAATCCAAGGATGGTAAAGCACTCCACCAGCATTACCAGTGGGTCACGCATTCGGAGCCTGACAGTGGCTCCAACTCACAGCTGGGAGCTGAGGCAGGGCTTTGGAAGCAGGCTGTCCTGCCAGCAGCTCCTGGTGGGGTTTCTCAAAGCACTGCAGGTGGACATGCAAGCACCAGGCCCATGATCTCCTATTACACAGATACTTACCCAGACACTGCCACCAACACATTCCAGGGTCCCTCAGCAGCTCATCTGAAGCTCCATGGGCCTCAAGTCCCTCAATCTCCATACTGAGATGTGTAATACAAGTGCAGGAACTCAGAGCTTTGAGGGGGATGATATCATACATTACATTGTGGCAATACATTTGGAACTATGCCTGCATGTGCGTATAAGCTTTAGAGCAGCTTCAAGGCAGACCAGAGGGCAGGAGGTAGCACCCATGCCCCCCAGGGATGAAGGAATCAGAACAACTCTGTCCATGCTGTGCATAGACCATGCACAGATGTGACCGCACTTGCCAATGTCAGTCCTCTACCACAGACCCTGTGACATATCTACAGCAGTTTCACTTGATGGACAAGGCTCCTTCATCCCCCACAGAAAACCAACCACCCCCATGCAGCAGCTCAGCAGACAGTACACATGCTGGAGCACACCACAGTCAAGAACTTAACAACAGGGAAATGGCACACAGAGTACATCAGACAAAAAATATCATGATTTTGGAGCACATGCAAAAGGCAGTTTGATGTGATAAGGGATCATACTGCTTTACTGTTACGGCATGTCCTTTCATGTTTAAATCCAGGTTTCCATGTCACAGTGCAGCAAGGATTAAGACAGCATTATCACAGCTGCAGTGGTATTTGTCACAATTCTCCTCTGCTCAACTGAAGTTTAGGAAAGAATCATAGACTTGGTGAAATTGTCTTGAAAAAGGAGGACAAAAGAGGGGTAGTTTAGCAGCTCACAATGAAAAGAATAAGGGCTGTGCACCAGCGTTGTTTTATTCACTCACCTCTCACAGAGAAGTGGAAGAGAAAGAATGCTCCTGTTTGAGCAAACTAGAGCCACAGTGAACCAAATGGGGCTGCTTGCATGGTCATTTGCTAGGTATTATTGTCCATGAGCCAAGGGCAGCCTCACTCTTGCTGACTGCTTTTCTCTATGCCCTGTGCTTTTTACAGCTTATGGCTGCAGAAACACAGATGGGCTACTGCATACATAAACTCAAGTACATGACGGGTTTGAAACCAAAATTCTATGAAGATGAGAGTCTGTCTCCTATCCAAGAATAGCTAATTAATGCAAGACTCTGAAGTGCCATGGAAAATGTTAGAAAAGTTGGGCTGCCACCATTTTGTGATGTGACAGCTTTTATCTACCGTATGTGTGGGGAGGGGAGTTCAACCAACATAGCATATGTTAAAACAAAAACTATAAACATATGTTAGGCTGCTAAAATTGGACATTTACCAGTCTGCTTAGCAATTTAGCTAAGCATTGAATTTTAGTTTTGAAAACTATGCAGGCTTACAGCAGCAAATATCATTGTATTGCCATGACCATATCTATATAGCACAGGATATAACATAAATTATTTTGCATGTAATACTAATAACAAGTTCAGATTTTTTTCTTGCTCATTTTAAAATGCTGATATACTGTTGCACACTAGAACA